TTTGATACTTATCAAAGAGCTATAATTTTCAAACATTAAAGGGTTGTTGATTCTTTTGATATTCTTTGAATTCATGCTTATGATTTGATTATATTGTGAACCTATAATAGGTAATATTTTACAAAATTCTTTCATTCTTCGAAAAAGGAAGGAGGAAAAACATTTTCAAACAGGACAGTCTCAAATGAGAAAGGTTTTTGAAGCAAGTTGTTGCCTATTCTACCTCTATTGTAGAAAAAGAATAAACGAGGCCAGAATGATGAAGCATTTCACATTCTTGAAAGCAAGTGATCTAAGAAGCCAGAAACCTGGAGAACTAAACTTGTAACGCTCTCTTATGACATTAGCAACAACCTGATAAAAAGAAGATGATCACGTCATTAAGAAGATGCACATATCTAAGACATTTCTTTCAGAAAGATTAATCACTTCTTAAGTCTGTGAAAACATGAAGAGAATTCCTCAAATTACTTAACAACATTGTTGTTTAGTGACACTAGAATAAGAGTATTCAAGATAAACAAGTTTGGGTCACGAATAAAGCCACCAGTACCCTCAATGGGGTATTAGCAAAATTGGACCTCGCGGGGACCATGAGATTCAAATCAAACAAACATTGAGAGTAAGCCTTACAGTTTATAATATTGGGGCATTTTGAAGGCCCAATTTAGACAGATCAACGTGGGACATCTCGAAGGCCCATTTCAACCAGAAATAGAATATTGAGGCATTTTGAATGTCTAATTCAAAAAAAAATGATCCATGTGGGGAATTTTCAAGGCTCACAACAATATGAATATTTGGGCATTCTTGGAGGCTCATATCAGCTAATGTTGAACGCATTTTTAACATCTGTATCAACAAATGATGGGGTATTTTGAAGGCCCACATCAGTATGAATATTTAGGTATTTTTAGCAAGAAGTAAATGTTGGGGCATGCTGAAAGCCTATTTCAACTAGAAATTATCCATGTGAAGCATTTTGAAGGCTCACATCAATATGAAAATTTGAGGCATTTTGAAGGCCCATTTCAGACAAAAATGACCCATGTGGGGTATTTTGAAGGCTCAAATCAGCAATAAACAATTTTGAAGGCATTTTGAACATTCATATCAGCAAATAATGGGGCATACTGAAGGCCCAAATCATCATGTGTTAGGATCATTAACTTGAGCAAATATTTCCAATGAGACAGAAAGCTATGAAGAATGAAAATGGTGAAACAATGATAGTGGAACTAATTATACATATTTACTTTGTTCATCATACAGATGCATTATTCTAGTAATTTGATGTTGGCCAGTCAAAGCGTCCCATTTGTATTCCCACTGAGTTTTGTTCTCAAGTGGTCTTGTGACATCATACAAAAGCTTTGAACACTATGCAAAGAGATTCACTGGCGAACATTTGGGCAGAAGCCACAGGAAAGGATGAATGTATTGTCAAATGATTTATGAACATCTGAGCAGAAGCCACGGGAAATGATGAATATGTTGTCAAATGTTTTACGAACATCTAAGAAGAAGCCACAGGAAAGGATGAATGTGTTGCCAAATTTTTTATGAACCAGTGATTATGATGCTGAACCAATGTTGTAATCATATGGTATTTCCATTTATGGACCCAAGATGAATTTTGACTTCTTCAACCCCCAATGTTAGAAGTGAGATATGATGAAGATTTCTTTCCACAAAAGAAGTATTGGAATTTTAACAACAAGAAACTAGTGGAGCCAACTAAGATTGAACAATAGGTTGTTGTTAAACATCTCAACATAATATGGTTCAAGTTGCTTAGTTCTAGATCCGATTAGATGTGAAGACATGAAAGGAATTAGGATAAATCCTCCTTATGATGTGTTTCAAGAGTCAAATCAGAACAGACGTTGCTAATTAATCTCTGCTGAATAGGACATATCTACATCTACATTCTATACAAGTTCAGACGAAGAAAACCAATTTTATCAAAGACAAAATGGGGCATCAAGGTCATAATTCTGATTACGACAAGAGTTCTATAAATGAGACTTTAATAAAACAAAGAAGACACAAATATGCAAGTGGATCAGATGGTTCATCAGAAATGCCACTTGAAATGACATTTTGACTAAGTAAATGAAGACTAAGTTTACCACTTTGAAGTCTAATGAAGATTGCATCAACATTTATGCATTCATAAGAACATCATTTGCATAATAGAAACTGCATTACATTAATACATTTGATTGCATTCAAATATGAAGTTTTACAAGTTTTCAAATGAAAAAAAAAGATTCATGATAAAAAAATACCTTACAAGTGTAAGGTAGAATTCAAACTTCAAGTACAGGAATCACTTCAGGAGAAGTAAACATATAAATAATAGATGGTCGCAATCCACAAAAGAAGTATTATTTTGAAATGGGGCATGTTCCCAACTAAAAAGTTATTTCAAAAAATGAGAAAACAATTTCCAAAGTTTTTCATTTAATTTTTTCTGATAATGAAATTGTTGACTAGTAAGAAAACGATTTCCAAAGTTTCTTACTTAGTAAACTATTTCCCAAATTTTGTAAGTCCTACGGGCAATCCATAAGACCTTCAATGCAGAATGTTTTCAAATAGCAATTTATCTCACTTGAAATTATTTTTCTTAAAACAAAATGTTTCTCCCTTGAGAAAGTTTCACTTGAAATAGCAATTTATCTCACATGAGATTGTTTTTTTAAAACAAACTGTTTCTCGCTGGAGAAAATTTCACTTGAAATAGCAATTTATCTCACTTGAGATTGTTTTTCTTAAAACATTTCCAGAATGAGTTCATAGTCTGAAGAACTCATATGAAGAGGAAGAAGGAGTTCATAATCTGAAGAACTCGTCTGAAGAGGAAGAAGGAGTTCATAGTCTGAAGAACTCGTCTGAAGAGGAAGAATGAGTTCATAATCTGAAGAACTCGTCTGAAGAGAAAGAATGAGTTCATAGTCTGAAGAACTTGTCTGAAGAGTAAGAAGAAGTTTATAGTATGAAGAAATCATATGAAGAGGAAGAAGGAGTTCATAATCTGAAGAACTCATCTAAAGAGGAAGAAGGGGTTCATAGTCTGAAGAACTCGTCTAAAGAGGAAGAAGGAGTTCATAGTCTGAAGAACTCATATGAAGAGGAAGAAGGAGTTCATGATCTGAAGAACTCATTTGAAGAGGAAGAAGAATTTCATAGTTTGAAGAACTTATTCAACATTTTGCTTGACGTTATCACAGAAAGAGATAGAACAACATCAACATTTCCATCTTAATAAAAAAAGTCAAATGGACAAAAAAATTTATTGTCTTTTTCGTCTTTTCCCTATTCTTGTTAACACAATAATGAGCAAAGAGGGGCAGCTGTAGACACTAGTTTTTTTGCCCATTTATTTTTATTTATGATTTTATTATTATTATTATTATTATTATTATTATTATTATTATTATTATTATTAAATTTATATTACAGGCCCAAAATACAACAACCTGAGGCCCATTTACATATCCCGAAGCCCAAAGAGATACAAACCCAGCCCAAGCCCAAGACTAACCTTAAATCCGATTACGGTTTGTATCATTTTCAGCCGCCAACAGCTCTTTCAACCTTTGGATCTAGCCTTGATCCAACGATCCAAATGGTCCCAGCAGCAAACCCTAAGGTATCATAACCCTAGGACCATGCGGCCGCTAGGGATGGCAACGGGCCGGGTTCGGGCCGGGTATTGGTCCCCCGTCCCCGTTTAACATAAACGGTTATTTAAATTGGTAATTTAATACTTCAAAATTGTATCAAATTAAAATAATTTAATATTTCAGTAAATTTAAAATAAGTTAAACGGAATCGAAACACAAACCAAAATTGGGTGAGTAGTATATTACAGGGAGCTAATAATCTTCTTAACTGGTTGTCATGATTTCCATTGATGGGTACAAGGCCAACTGATATTATGAATAATTCTCCATCATATTTGGCACATATCTGATTGTTCAGCAATGTACAGACAATTAAAAAATTGATTGATATTGGAGATAGTGAACAAATATTCCAGAAAGCAATTCAGGAGCAGGGACGAGGTCGGGTTTGTCTTAAGTTTCCTTTTTCTTAATTAATAGAATTTTCTTATGTGATTTCAGGAATCTTATAGTAAAATAATGGAAGAATGGTTGGGAAATTAAATGCAGAAAACATCAAACTCAAATCAAAATATAAAAACAAAGGGAAATGTAGTCTTAATATGAAGAAAACCAAACTGAAATAACAAAGAGCACTTCGCTGTTATGACCCCAAATGATTGAAATAAAATTAACAATAAATCATGATAAATGTGAATCACTCCTCTGACTCAGACTCGACATTCTAGAGCCACTCAATGAAGGGCTTGACGCCACTACCGTCATCAAACAGTTGTGACCCCCAATTGCTACAATTAAACAAAAAATTATAAGCCACCAAAATTTATATAAAAAAGTTAATGATATCACGTATAACTTGTATATCAATTTAGTACCTCGTCACCATCATCACGATCATATTCGATGCTTTTACAATATGCTTTGAACTCTTGTGAACAAGTTGTTGTATTTATTAATTTATATAACATATCATATCAACAATACAATTGAAAAAAATAAACTTATAAGTAAAAGAAATGATTGATTACCTCTTATTTCGTTTATTAACCAACTTTGGGCACACATTAGCGCTTCCAACTTCTCTGGATGAAGACGACTCCGATGAGGACTCACCAATCTACCACTTGTACTAAAGGCAGACTCAGACGCAATAGTGGATATTGGAATTGCTAATATGTCTCGGATAATTTTTTGTAATGTTGGATACTTGAAACCATTTGTTTTCCACCAAGACAAAATATCAAGCTCTGAATTTTGTGTCCTTACTTTCTCTTGAAGATAATGATCAAGCTCCGACATGATACCTACAATAATAATTTTATACATTTAAAACATAAATAAAACAATCAAAAGATAAATAAAACAAACTTATATAGTGATCCCTGTATGATTATCATCTTCAATGAATGTAACATAGTCATTGAAAAAAAACCCCTCCACCTGAACCTCCATGTCACTAGTGTTGCGACTTGAATCAATATCCCGATTCCGCGAACTTTCATAATTACAAGTTTCATAATCTTGAAACAAACGAGACACAAGCACCTTTAGTTTTACAATTTCAACATCAGACTTTTCAAAACCATAAATCTTTGGGAAAACATACTCCATCATTTTGAACTTGTATCTTGGATCTAATACAACTGCAACTCCCATAACTCCATGTATAACTGACCAGTATTTATCAAACTTAACAAGCATCCTCTCCCCCATTGCTTTTATCACTTCATCTCGATCTTCACTCCACTTACTTAATGCAATTCTTATCTCACATATGGATGGGAAAAATACATTAGCCGTAGGATACTTGCTACCCGAAAACATCAAAGTCACCTTATAAAACAGTTGCAATTTTCCACAAATACTTGAAGCTAACTCCCAATCTCTATCTGTAGGTAAACTTCTATATTGTGCTTCTCGTTGCTTTAAACGTTTGAAAACATCCTTGTACACTATAGCAACACTAAACATCAAATATGTCAAGTTCCAACATGTTTTACAATCAAGAGACAATTTTTTTGAGCAATCAATTGTCAAGTGACGAGCCACTTCTTCAAACTTTTCTATTCTTTTTTGTGTTGCGCTCCAAAAATAAACATTATCCCTAATTCTCTCAATTCCATCCCCAATATGAAATAACTCTCCTCCTAAAATCAACGAGTTCAAAGACAACTTGTCTAATAATAAATGAATCATAAGATCATTTGTGCTACAATTATCAACTGTAACTGTTGATATTTTTCTATCAATGTTCCAATCACATAGAGATTCATACAACACATCAGCAAGAACTTCAGCAGTATGAGGACAAGGCACATATATAAACCTAGTAAATAAGTAATTAGAATCAATTTAGTTCTTATATTTAGTACCTAGCTAGCAAAGGTAAGTTTAAAGTACCTCATTATTCGGCTTTGCATCTCCCAGTTATCATCGATCAAATGAGATGTGATTGACATGAAACCTTTTTTTTGATTACTTGATGTCCACATATCTATCGTAATGGCAATCTTGCTTCGATTCTTCTCCAATAGACTGAAATAAATACAACATACAAATTAGAAACCAAATAAATACAAGATACAAATTAGAAACCGATTAAACAAATAAACATACCGCATTGTTTTTTCTTTCTTAAAGTCATAAATCTTGAGAATATCATTTTTTAAGGTATTCCTAGATGGAATCTTAAATAAAGGTTGAAGACCAACCACAAACTTTTGAAACCCATGATGTTCCACCATTACAAGTGGATATTCATGCACTATTACCATCTCTGCAAGATCTTTTCTTGATTTTTCGGGGTCAAAATTTAAGCATGATAGATTTGTTTGTCCATCTGTTGTTTTTTGCCCCATCCCAATCACTTGTTGACGTATATCTCTACAAGTTCACCATGGACAACTCTTGAAATGATCATGCAAGTGTCGTGTCCCATTCTTACTATTTGCTCCTAATTTTTTCTTGCAATCACGACACTCTACCTTATCCTCACCATTAACATTCACCTTCTCAAAGTGATTCCATACAACTGAAGTAAGTTTTCGCTTTCTACAATTTGTACCAACATTTCTATCATCGATTTGTGTTTGTTCTTCTTCTATGGGTGAAATGGATGGGCCTTGGTTATTTGGCATCGGAGATGATTGAGTTATATTATTGCTTTCAGTTTGTGATTGTGCTTGTGCTCGTGCATTAGAATTATCATCTATGGATCGTTGACCTTCCATTATTGCTGTGAAACAACCTTCATTAAGAAAAGTAGTTATTAATGATCAGAAATGATATTAACCATTTAGTAACACTAATTTCACATTTAGTAATAAATCTAAATTCATGAATTTGAATGTAATCAAGAAAGTGTCTTCTTTCTCCTAAATTTGTACTAAATAGAAATACAAATCACTTCTTTCAAATTTACAAAGATGATATAATTCATACTAAATTACGCTTTAATAATTTATTTTTATAAAACTGGCAATAGAATCTGGAACTTAATATTAAATAAAGCATCGAATTTTCTCTCATTCTAAAAAAACTAAACAAAATCTACGAACTCAAGAGTGTCAAATATAATTAAACACTGGAAACAACAAACTTAAAATAGTAAAAAAATGAAAAGTTATTTTCTTTAGATCAGTCTTTAAAGCCCCAAATCACTCTCTCTCTCTCTCAATCGATCTCACCTTTTCTCTCTAGTGTAAAAAATAGCTTGGCTGCTTGCTAGGCCTTGTTAGAGAAAAATGAGAGAATCTCATTTGCTTTTCTCACTGATACTTCTTTTAGCTCTTTACTCCCTTCATTTCCAAGCTCATGCTTCCCCTGCTGGTAACATTTTTTTTCTAAATGATTTTAGGTTCTATTCGTCTTTCTATTTAAGGGGTATTTTTCAAATTCAGGTTTGCATCTTTTTGCTTTCATTTTAGAATGCTACTTTTTCTTTTCTGTGATTATTTTTCTTTATTTCTCGTTCTTCTTGGTTTAAATTCTGTTACCTTTTAGTTATTCTTTGATCTATTCTTTTGTTCAAATGGGTTTCCTTTTTCGTTTTTAAAAAACCCTTTTTTGGATTTGTTTATGGTTTCTAATATTTCACATCAAATGTTAATATGTTGTGTGATTTACAGAGACACCATTTTCTTGAACAAGGGTAGAACAAAGACTTTAGCTTCAATAAAGAGTTTGGTGGTATTTACATTTGGGTTACTGATTTTGGCATTCATTGGGGTTTCCTCTGCAACTCTTCATTAGAGGAGTTACTATACCAGATTTGAAATGAAAAAGAGCTAATAGCCTAACAGACATTAATTAAGAGTTGATTAAAAGTATGAACATTATTTAACATCCACCAAGAATGCATGAATTATAACAATAACAATATCAAAACAGTGATGAATAAGAAAATCTAAGAAGAGAAAACGCACCATAAACAAAAGTTACGGCAGAGTGAAACCCTAAAAAGATCTCGAGAAAATGTGAAAGATAGAAGAAAAGGTGATGACTGATGGTGCTGAGAGCCTTAACCCGGGTTTGACATTATTGGGTTGTTTGAGTTTGACCCTTTAAATTTGAATTACCTTACAGCCCAAGTTCAAAAATAAATAACAAAATATTTCACATTATTAGGCTATTTGAGTGAAACAAATTAAGTTTGAATACCTGGGTATCGGACCGAGTATCGGGTCGGGTACCGGGTCTAGTATTCGGGTAATCGGGGTGGGGATTGCCAAACCCGTCCCCGTCCCCGTTTAAAAAATCAGTTTTTCTCCATCCCTGTCCCCGTTTATCATCCCCGAACCCGACCCGTTTAATTCGGTTTTCGGTTTTCCCCGTCGGGTTCGGGTTTTTTTGCTATCCCTAGCGGCCGCCGCCTGCACACTACACTATCGACGCCGACGCCTCGCCAGAATGCTCCAGAAGCCAACTGCCCCTCCACACATCGAAGCTCTATGGTGAGTCACCACCATAGTTCGGTGACTCACCTCGAGGGCCATTCTTTACTCGGTCCAAGGAGGACATCGTCGATGGCTATAAAAGCCATTGACCACCTACAAAGAGAAGAGGACGGAGAGAAGATACCGAACGGAGAAAGGGAAAGTACGAGGACGACGCCCAACGACATAGAGCAAAAACACAACAACAACCAAGCAGTGAACCAAAAAAAGGAAAAGAGCCTTACCGAGAGGACTACGCGACCATCGGGGCCTTCACTCGCCTCTGGAGAACTGAAACGTCGAAGGTGAAAATCGTAGATTTACGACATATTGTGGGGTTTTATGTTAAAATAACCTTAGATCAGGCTTTAGGATGACGAGATCTATATTTTTGGGTAAATTGAGAATTTCTGGCCACCAACGGCGATGGCCGACGGTGGCGATCGGTGCCAGAAACGATGGTCGATTTTCCTCTGGCGGCCTGATATCCAGAGCTTGCAAAACGGAGAAGAAGAAGAAAATGTCCCAAGAGGGTCGGTTTTAGGGTATTTATACCCCTCCCCGAACGACGTCGTTTTGGGGAGGGGTGTGTTAGTAATTTCGCGCGTGGAAAAACCCTTTCCGCAGTCATCCCAGTTTGTAGCATGTGCAATTTAGTTACTGGAATTGATTTTCTGGACATTTTAATTTTTGTCTTCTAATTTTATTTTTTTATTTTAGTCCTTTCCAGTATATTTATATATTTAGGGTAAATACTATATTTAGTCCCTCAGATTATAATATTTTATATTTTAATCACTAATTAATAATTAAGGATAAATTACACTATTCGTACATAGATTTTAATAATTTGAATTAGAGTCTTTAATTTATATACTTTACGTGTTAGTCTTATAACTTTTAATTCCTTTTATTTTGGTCACTTTTTTTATTTATTTTTATTATTGCATTTTATATTTCAATACTTATAGTCCTTTATTTTATCTTTATTATATATATATATATACATATATATGAAAAATTCATAAGTATTATATGATTAATTAATTAAATAATGATATTTATTTATTTTTTAATGTTAAGAAAGGGATTGTCTTAAAACAACTAGAGGTCTTATTCTAATATTTTTAAAATAAATAAATATTATGCTTATAAAAATATATATATATATACTATAATTTTATTTACATTATTTTTTAGAAAAAAATTATCATATTATTATTAGTATTTATTTATTTTTTAATATTAAAGAAAAAGGTTATCTTAAAGTAACTAGATATTCTTTTCTGATATTTTTAAATAAATAAATACCCTATTTATAAAACCCTAAAAATATATATTTACTTTAGTTTTATAAAAATTATTTTTCTTTAAAATTTACTCAATTGAATAGGGAATAAGATGATCATAAATTAAATTTATATTTAAATTCTTAAATTCTATTATTAGAGACAATTTATAATCGACGGGAGCCAATTTTGGGCGTTATGAGGGTTTTAATCCTTCCCCAAACGTAACCGACCACTAATCCCTTTTTATTATTAAAAAATCAAATTTTTGGTTAAAATACAAACCGGTTTATCTTTTAACTGATGTTTTAAAAACTCTTTTAAAAGATGATTTTTAGGTATTCGACCAAAAAAGTCGATGGCGACTCCCAAATTATTTCTTTAATAAAAATTATTTATTCATTCACATTACTTTTTTCGTCAAAGAAATTTCGTGCTCGGGCGAAAACCGGTTACGACACTACGTTTTACTTGTAAGGTCCTATATAATCCAACCCACACTTGCACTGTCTTTCTCACGAAACACACTCTCTCTCTCTCTCTTTTCTTTCGTATCTTCTTCCTTTTTCTGAGAAAAACCTTTCATTTCAGCCTCTCTCTCTATATATCTTTCTCAATGAAGAAAGCTAAGGTACACCCTGTGTACGAAGGGAGAGGAAGGGAGAGAAGCAAAGGGAACTCGTCAAAGAGTGAGAGAATGATTGCCAAGGGAAGAAGAAACGGAGTTAGGACTATGAAAGCTCTTTCAATTGTTCCCGATAACCGGTCGATGGTGACACAAACGATGGAGCTGGAAGGTGAAGGAACGTTGTACAAGGTTGAGATCTCTCAGGCTCCGGTAGAGGAAATGAATGATGATAACAAGCCTACGGAGCAGGTGCAGCAGCCTGTGAACAAGGTGGCACCTGTTCAGAATAAGGGAAACGACGAGGAGATGTTGTTCTTGGATGACTTGCCAATGATATGTAACTATGAGGAGGGATGGCCGTGTTTCAGTGTTGGGTATGGCTGGGATTGTTATACCTATTGCGAGCCAACGAATGGGTTTTGGGAACCCTTTGAAGACGTCAATTTTGAGCCTGTTTGGGATGATGCCCTATGGGACTTTAAGAACGACGATAAAACCAAAAAGCTTTAGAAGAAAACCTCTTATGTTTCAGTGTATTATAGTTGTTCTTGTTGTTATCTGACTGTTTTCTTTTGTCTGTCTTATAGAGTCTAGAGCGTTGTCTTTAGGTACAAATGCATTACTGCAAAACAACTGTTTAATAGACTTATGTAGCAAGAGTTTTATAATATGAAGTGTTTTATTTTCTGAAATGGTAGCTGTTCGTTTCAATAATCTTATCTTTTGGGGTACAAACTTGAAAGAAAATAAGAAGTTTTCATTTGAAGGTCACTTGGTACTGTTCAAATCTGAGTTGATTTTGGAACCTGATTGAGATAGGTCACTTGAAATTTAAACACAGCCAAAAGGTTCTACTTGGTGTAAATTCTACACTTTTTGTCATCTCTATCAGACTCTAATTTCTGTCCTTTTTTCAGATTCGGTCCAATAGGATCAGAAGCATTAATACATTTAATCACATGTGTAGTTCCATTGCAAGAGAATACATACATACACACATATATGAGTGTTTGTGTGTGTATAAACTAGCAGGTGTTGTTCAAACCCCTGGTTTTATTTGAATCAACATAAAATCTAGCCTTAGAATGCAGCTATTCTTTCTAATAGGAGAATCATAAAAGATTTTCAAAGATAAAATGCAAATGAAGACAACTAGGAGTTGATGTATGTCTATATATATAGAGGCAGGATCTGTTAACATCGTGTAAAATTTTTTAGTTTTGCATCTTTCTAGGATTGTTGAATGAGTGAAAATAGATGGCTGGGAATCACGATAGGAAATGAAAAGATATTCAATGGAAAAAAATGAGATAATCTTAGTCTTCTATTTTCGCTCATCCATCAATCATAAAAAGGTGTAAAATTAAAAGTTTTAAGTATATCCTAACTCATATATATATATATATATTGCACTTGTATATCGGTGGAACTATCGATTTTAAGATTGCATTTGTTGGTGTTGTAAGGTTTGCAAATGTCAACTAGTTCAACGCGCTGTCTCAACAACTTTGTTGCAGTTAGGGTGTGAAACATTTATCAGGGACTTCATATGCAACATCTTAATAGGTTCTTGTTCCATCCAATGCAAGCGAACGGAAGTTTAGTAATCGATATCAATGTTTGTTTTGTTGGATTAATGCCTTAGATATATGTATTATATGCTGCGGTTTAGTTAATGTTTTATGCTATGAACCAAGCTACTCTAGTAGTTAAAGATTTGTTATTGAGGTTCTGGGTTCGAGTACCATTTATGTCAAGGGGTTATAAAGGTTTATAATTAAATAGTTGAGTCTTAAAACTATATTATCTTATATTTACCCCATATCATTCTTAACTATAACAAAAGGAAAATGTATAATATGTTAACTATGTCTAATATTTTACTAATAAAATGTTTCACTTAATTCATATGACATGAAAACAATTTTCCTTCGTCTACCTCATATGGATGGGTGGCTAAGGTACTATGAAGAATGGTCTATGTGAATTCCCAAGAGAGGCAAAGTCCTTGTCTGTCGATTCAAATTAAGAGAAGAAAATAGTCGATTTGTTGAGGTTAAGAAAATCTGAACCAAGGCTTCTCGGATTTAACCAAGACCATGAAGTATAGAATTGGTGTTCGCGGCATTTGCCGTGTCAACAAATAAGAGAGGAGAGAAACGACGACATCTCTTGTTAATATGATTTCTAACCTCAAATTATCATATATTTTAAATACTTTTTTATTTTTTATTAATAGAATATTTTTGTCAAATAAAATTTTATAAATTTACTTCTCTTAAAATTTTAAGAAAAGTGAATTTATAAAATTTTAAAAATTTACCTTCCTAATATAAATAAAGGATATCGCTAAAGTTACATGGGTGTCTGATCTGCTCGACCCACTTAAACTAGTTTTGAATATATCAAAAATGGTGAGTCCAACATATTTTAAGCAGTATAAGAAGGGAAGATCGAGGATTTAAATCGGACTTGTAACTCTAAACTATATTTTTGCAAAAGTATGGGTCTCCTTAGCTCTAAAAACTTAGCATCGACTCCACCGTTGGCAACAAAGTTGAAGAGGTAGTGATAAAAGGATCAATCTGACGAGTTTGTGCTTCGTTTGGATATTACCTCTTCGCTCTCCACTAACAAGCATAGAGAGAGCACACATTATTCCATAACATGAGGAATCCCTAAATCCCATTTTTTGTTATATTTTCAAATAAATATCCATGAGACATTATGATAAGTTTTGTAAGGTCAGTTTGATAGACGTGGCCCTTGTTTTTGATCATGAAAGGTTTATTGGGAAATCGGAATGTTATCTTAGATCTGTCTCTAAAGATGAATGTTAACTTAGTCGGAGAGATAATAATAGGCATGAGAAGCTTTATTTTTAGAAATTATGATTTTGCAGATGATGTTGCAACCTCTTAAGTCACGCCCTAAAATATGGGTCACAAGTTAAGTGAATTCATTATTTGTTTTAAAAATCTGGGATTAAATTAAAGTAGATAGCAAGTGTCAATTTAAAGTTAGTATACAGTGACTTAAAATTTTATAATCTAAATGGAAATTGAAATTAAGTTCAATGATCCAAAATGTAAATTACCCAAAATATAATGTTATATACTTTTAAATAGGGATGGCAAAAAAACCGAACCAGACGGGGAAAATCGAAAA